TGGCTAGCGGGCAGTAGCAAGGTGAACACGGACAGCGGCTCCTGAGGGCATCCTCTCTGTCCACACGAGCAACGAGTATTCAGGCTCAACAGTCATCATTGTCATCATCATCATCGTGTTAAAAGGGTTGTGCAAAGGACAGACAGCAGACACAAGTGTACGATCCCGAATTTCTGTATCCGATGCCACGAACAGCCAGTGACAGCTGACGAGCAGACAAACGGAACTTGGGCAGACATTATTTCGGTTACTGTACCAGAAAGGTGAATGGAAAAGTCGGGATGGTGTGTGTGTGTGACACTGTCGAACAGTTCGTCTGCGAAGAGCATGAAGTCCGGGAGTCCGCTTGGACTGGGGGGCCTGATAGTTAGGGGTGGGGTATGTGCAAAGGAGGGCAAGTTTGTCAACCAAATAGACCAGTCCCATTTGGCAACTGCCTCTCATCCCAAACATGATGGGCAAACCGGAAGAGAGAAAAAAGACATCGGAGATGCTGGGTTTATCGCTGAGCCAAAACTATGCGGTTGTGGTGTGACAATGCGGTAAATTGCACATCTGCAGAACCGTTTAAGCACAAATAGTTGACAGACGCTACGTCTCTCCGCGGTCTCCTCAGACGAATCCTCGATCGCTGCTTGACATCAAAATGGAGGCACGCATACAATGTCCACTAATCGCGTAGGCATCCCGAAGAACTTACTGGTCCGTTTGTTTGTTCAGATCGTTGTTTCACTCGGGTTTGTGCCCCTTGCCCAAGCGCGCGGTCTTTGGTAGAACGTTAACACAGTTGACTGTTTCACCTTAGCTCATTAGACAGACCATGAAGAAGATTGTGGCCTTCCATTTCGGTCAGTTTTGCAACCAGCACAATGAGATGTTGATCAGCTTGAGGAAAAATAATGCAAACACTCATTTATGGATGTTCGAAAGATGTCCGAAGAAAACAATTAGTTATCTAACACGGAAGGTTTTTGTATGCTAATCATCATCAAACGGTGCAATTCAGCATGAAGGTCATTGTGATATCGGGTAAGGCAAACCAATCGACTGATCGCCAGTGAGCAAGAAGACTATAGAGACCCCCACATTCCGCGAACCATCTGACTGGGAATGGAAATTTGTATTTACATGCTGGATAGTCAATCGCCTACCGCTTAAGTGAAGTGCTACATAAAATTGTGCTGGATTTTGTTCATGCAATCTCACATGCATCAAACTATTGATCGGTTCATCTCCCATATGTGTTTGTGCGTGCGCGCGCTCGTTTTCACTCCGAGAAGTTTATCCCTTCGACAGTTTCCACGCTATGGCTCTTGAGTAACATATACAATGTGAACCGAAATGGCCCGAAAACCTGTCTTTATCAATCAATAAATCACTGTAAAACGATCTATCACAATTCAGTCGTAGCTTTGTGCACCTTAATCCGGTCTCACAAGAACTTGCCTTTGATCAAAGTGAAGGAATGATCTGCTCCAACTTTTCACTCACCTTCAAAGTCAAATCAAACTCATCAGCCACATCTTACCTGCCCGGTAATCTATGTTGCCTTAAGCTGGTGGCGCTCGAACCTACGCACCTGATATTGGAAAGTGTACTTCTCGTGTTCAAGCCCACTGTATCTACCTTCATCCCACCCACTCCTCAGCACTTATATTAGTCACATTACGCGTAAACTCATAGCTCGTATACTTTACTCATACTGTTATGGTTGTGGGAAACCCACACTTATTCACACACAAACACACGTACTGGGATGCGAATCCTGTGCGTACAGTCGCCGAGAGATTTGTATTTGACTATTGAAAAAAGACAAAAGACAGTAGGGAAACACGACAGCAAAACAAGCATCGCGTTCCCATCAAGAGGATGGTTGTTGCACATGGGACGGAGTTGGGGCTGGTTTCCATATACTGGCAAACTGAAGTGCGACTGGAGTGCGGGAAGAAGTAAACGAGCTCAAAACAGGATTGAGGGAAAATACACTACACAACAGAAAACCGACGGAGAATGTAGTAAACAGATGGAGAAGGAGTGTGTGAGGTCGAAGCGAGGATTAACCGAAGAGTTGGCTCGGGGAGAGATTCATTTCGAGTCTCTGATGTCCACTCCAACCCATAGGAAAACATTGCCCGGTGGTCCCTCGACCGCTCTCTAGTGTCATTTGAAAAAACGAAGATGTACCCAAATACCGGGTTGGTTTGAACGATTGCAAAGGGGATCGTTTGGACTCACCCTGGTTAGGTGCGTAAATCGATTTGTACAGATCAAGTGAGCAATCGGATCAAAATAGAGGAACGCGGATGTAGGAAACATACTGAAAGGGAACTCATGGTTGTTGTTGCTGTTGCTGCTGTTGTTGTTGGGTGTGCGGGACGAGGTTGGGAGACTGCAAACAAGCAAAAACTGCAACAGTGGCCACGACAACAACAACAGAACAAACCAACACAATGTCGATCTAACAGATGAGCACTGACTCCGAGATGAGCTTCTCAGTTTGATTCAGCAATGAATAGTGCATTGAGGGAGGAGGGATGCGGGGAAACGAAAGGATCACTGAGTTGTTCACCCCCCAGCCTCCAGCCCGAGTCACTCACTTTATGGTACAAGGAGTATACAAGAAGACATTCGGAAGAGGAACAAGTAAAAGTGCTGCCTGTATAATACTTGAATCCTCGTGTATTCGCATGTGCGTGTGTGTGTGTGTGCGTGTGTTTGTGTGTTCGTATGCAGCTGATGTCGCCGTTTGGTGAGTTCAAACGGACACTTGGGTCAAGTAAAAGAGACAATGTTTTGTTGTTGCTGCTGTTGCTGCTGTTGTCGTCGTCATTGATCATATCGAAGAAGAGATGGATGGATGGATAGTGTTGCAGAGGGCAAAGATTTGAAATTATGTACAAAAAGGAGATATGACAAAATGTGTGCAATGATACGTGGATTTTCAAGTGTACAAGCAAGATCGTTTGGGGGGGGGTATGTATGTAGGTGTTCTATTTTACATATCACAGACCAATCAAGAGATTGGCAATCATTCACAAGACGTTTAGATATGCCGGTGTTCGTGAACAGAGTATCTTGTCTATTTCACCTCGTTCGTCTCCCCATCACACAGTTTGATGCTAGGAAAAATGAGATCCGCATTGTGCCAGAGCACATTGTACACTGGTTGATCGGATTCACACAATCGGGAACGGTCTCGACCGAGTGGATCGACAATGCGTGGTAGACCCAGACCATCAAACGGTTGACAAACCATATTCGAATTCGTGTCTGTGTCCGAAACGTGTATCGGTCTGAGACGTCCATTGGCGTAACAAGTGAGCGGAATGTTCAAATAGTACAAGGCCAAATGAGCAAGGCGTGGATAGGTCGCTGATTTCGTATTCCACCAAGTAAGCGGATCGGATTCCACACCAATCGGATCTTCACGTAGATATCGATCGACCTCGGATAGGGTTGGTCGTGCTAAACCGAATACGGTTTCCAGGCCAACTGATTCCGTTGTTCCTTTCGTTTTTGCCTGTGCTATCGCGGTCGTCTCGCCGGCTTCGTCCGAACCATTTTTGCCTCCACCGGGTGAACCACGTGTCAGAGAAATGGTATCCGCCTGTTTGATAGCAGGAGTTTTCAAACGAAACAAAGAGATCAATAGGATGAAACTACAGTAAATCCAAGCAAAAAAAGATTAAATCTTAATCACAGATCATAATTAAGTGAATCAAGGGGGTCGTGATTCGAGGTGAATTCGGACGTGGGTGTATCAAAAATTTAATGCGTTCACAGGTCTAGAACAACAGTTGGGAACCGATTCTGGTGTAACAGAATTTATCCCACTGATATTCGACTGAATTCTGTTGAAATTACTATATTGTTTGTTATATGGATGTGCATGTTTATTCCGTAGCTTTTTTGATATTTTCACGGACCCCATGATTGTATCAAACGACGATTTAGAGAACGTATTGGATGAAATTCAGTGTGAGATCGGAAGGGCGTAAGGAAACGTAAAGACCGAGACTATTTCTACCCGCGCCCTTACCTATGGTCATGAGGATTGACCCTACAAACGTACAATCTGGACGGGAGCGAAAGAAAATTCGGATTTGATCACACTTATGTGTATAACAACCTATGTTGTATCCGAAACTATGCATCAGATGAACAGGGATCTCAAATCTGTGGCAAATGTGTTTACTTACATTTTTTGCTTATTGAATGGACAAATGTAAATTCAACTTTCGAGAAACGGTTAGAGGTATATATACAACGACTGTTTGTGGAGGTACAGGAATGTCAAAGATGGGCGGCGGTGATGATGGTGAGATGTGGACTCAGGACCTTCTGGTCGCCATTTTAATGATTCACTCACTTGACCATTACCACCACCCAGTTGGTATGCGATCGAGAACAACTTCGGAAGATATAGAGAATAAGCCATTTAATTTATGAACCACGTATGAGGAGAATTGAATTTCAATCACAAATACATGCATCAGAATCTGTCAGATACCGTTCACTTTCTCACCTTGATTTTCAACAGTTTAATCGTGTCCGATTTTTGTTCTTGCACGTGATCTTTGAATCGCGGATCCAGTAAACTGGCCAATTGCAATGTGACCCGCAATTCATCCGAGACCGGATACGCTTTAGACAGGTGTTCGGCCACGGCAGCCTTGAAAATTTCGACCGGTTCAGAGCCATGCTCGTGCTCGGGAGCCAAACGAACCTCGATCAAATTTTGCAGGATTGGTTCAATCATGGATGCGGTGAGGACGAGCTCTTTACGATGAATCAGTTCCAGAGCTTGGTTCATAGTCTGTTAGAACGGACAGAACGAGAATGGATTGATCTGGTTAGTTAAAAAAGCAAGTGCCTCTCTATAGACTAGAACACCTCTCTCTCTCGCACACACACCTAATTCTACTCAGTCGGATGCTCTGTACATCCCCACCCAAGTGTGAACATCGTCGTCCATAGGAGAATGAGGCTTTGAAGTTCGGTGCGAGGATAAGCCAGCACCAGGGTATCTCCGGTGATGACCATCCACACATGGTGCTGCAAGGCACAGACAGAAATCCATCGGACATTACAGCTTCGGATTCAGTGAACTTGGTTCAGTTAGACTCACAGCTCCATTTGTTAAACCAAATGGCGATTTGGCCGCCTTGCCAGAGGGCAGACTACTGCTGTGGACGATCTTTTGTGGATGGTGCCTATGCAAAATAATACAAAAGCATACCGTATTGATACAATTTCGGTAAACTTCATTGTGGAGGATGCAATTTACCGATATCCTTTTGCCTGACTGAGCTCACAAAGACCCGTTAGTAATTTATCAAGATGTAAAACTACTCTCCCCTAACTGATTGTAAAACTTGTCACTCTAAAAAATCAACGTTCGAATTAGTTACGCGATTCTTTCAAAAAAGCATGCGATAAAAAATCAACTTGGAAATGTATTAATTCACGTTTTTATCAATAACTTACTTCAAACACGCAAAGCAGCTTTCTTGCGGCTTGCAATTCCGGCTGATCTGTTTGATCATCGGTCACAATCGATCGGAGCAACTCAAATGTTGACGACCATGTGTTGCAAGCACTCGGATCAGATTTAGACTCCATCACGAAGTCGGACTGCTCAGTCTTGACAACAGTCGGAGAGAGCACTTCCTTTTCTGGAACTAATGCGGGCGGGGAGGCACAACTTGACGTGTCAGAAGATGCCGGCGCATTCGCGGGCAAGGCAGTGGGTGCACCGGGGAGGTGAGGCCTTTGTACAGCTTGGAGTAGATTTTGTACCTCGGGTTTGCTTAGTCCAGTCTAAGGGTTGAAACGACAAGCGGAACACATATGGTCAGACAGACAACAAAGTGGAAAGTTTGAGCACTTTGAGAGCACACGCAAGCTTATTATTTCCCACACTTTCATATTCCGGTTCCAAGTTTCAGTTGTTATTACATTCAAGTACATAAATGTCCGAAGTGGGTTGATACCGTGTTTTCGACAGCATGTAAGTGTGTGTGTGTGTGTAAAATCTACCTAAATCCGAGTAAAATTTACTATTGTCTTCTTCATTTGTAGCTACATAGCTAGACAAGTGTTAGAAACCTACAGTTCAATAGATTGCAACAATAAACCAGAACTACACTATACTATGTTATATCATCATGTTATATCTCATGACTAACAAATGATTTTTAATCTGCAACTAATCACCGTTTTCATCGAATCGAACTGGATTGGACTAGAATGTACTAGAATGAATTTTATCAGCTACAGAGTAAACAAACCGTGAATCGATGAGCTAGGAAGCACTGTGCAAACGTTTCGACATTTTTAGGTTTCATCAGCAGTGAGAACCCATTGACCCACGTGAGGATCACTTGCGGGACTAAACAAAAATAGAACGCAAGCATGATGCCCAGTTGACCACTCTGGAGCGAGTAACTGATCAAAATAGTTCCCTTTAACTATCTACACACCACTTCTTTGCCGAAATGAAATCTCAATGGGAATGCAAAATACTCACGGTCACAGCCTTGGACAGAGCGGACAGTAGGCAGGGGATCACAAGGAATTCTCTCGTCCTATTTATACTATCCGCGTTGTCCGGTGATGTGATGCTGGTGGTGGTGGATTGAATCAATTCGTTCAAAACACCTGGTTGATTTGTCACTAACGGGATTGGCCATTCGTGGGACATGAACGATTTGTCCGCATGCTCTTCGCTGGTCTCCACATCGACGTTTCGTGCACATTGTTTAATATTATCTTTCAAAGCACGAGAGTTGTTCAACTGTATGGACAGGTGTGAAATTTTAAAAAAAATGCGAGGTTACTGTCTGGATCACCGATCAATTCTTGTCGAGGTTTTTTGTTACTATACC